GAGAAACTTCCTGACAGTTAGAACAATTAACCAGTGGAACAACCTGCCTCCAGAAGCGGTGAATGCGCCAACACTGGAAGTTTTTAAGAAGAAACTGGACAGCCATTTGTCCGAAATGGTATAGGGTTTCCTGCCTGAGCAGGAGGTTGGACTAGATGATCTCCGAGGTCCCTTCCAACTTTATCATTATTATTATTATTACCTTAAACCTCTCCCTCCAAAGACAGCAGTAAACATATCAGGCAGGTGGCAATCTTTTCTTAACGTGCAATCAGTCACCAGCTAGTTACAGGACATTGGAACACTCAAAACATTTAATCTAAGCTTGGTGTACGTGCACATTCCTCAATGCATGTGTGTACATACACACAAAGACACCTACATAACGTGTGTGCATCTTTGCCTGCAGTTTTCCTTCTTATATCTTACATATAATTGTACGGAAATTTTTATAATGGCATCTGGTTTAAGTTCTAGGAAATTCATGCCGTAAGTCGTTTCTGTTTAATGGCAATAGTATTTCTGCGTTATAACAAAATAAATATGTTAGATTAGAAAAGCAGCCGTTGGCAAGGATTCAACTTTGCAACAAGAAACCAGGTTTTTGTCTGTTGGCTTACATTCGAAACATATGTTCCACTCTAGAGAACTAACTGATCCCCATCTCCCCGAATGAAAAATGAGGGCTGAGAAAGAGACCAGCTTTAAATCCTCCAAGGGAACAAAACAACTCTAAACTCTTTGTTTTTTGTTTCTTCTTAGGTCACAATGAAGGTACCCTTGCCATGAAAGAGGGGGAGGTTTTGTATATTATAGAGGAAGACAAAGGGGATGGATGGACAAGAGCTCGGAGGCAGAATGGAGAAGAAGGATATGTGCCATCTACCTACATAGATGTAACTCTAGAAAAAAACAGTAAAGGTGCAGTAACCTATATCTAATCTCCAGTTGATCACCTTGTCCATGAACATTGCTTAATGAATACTGAATCACATAATTGGATGGAAAAGTCCAAAACCGTTTAGGAGTCTTTTCAATATGTGATTGACCACAGGAGCCCAAACTTAAGATTTCAGTTTTGAAACTGGAAAATGTCTGCGTATCACTTAGATTGTTCTCCGTGCCATCTTTGCTTAATGTACTTGTATGTCTTCTTTTTCCCTACACGGTCAGGTCATATTTTGTTGGTTTTCGTTGTTTTAATGTTATTCTTGTAAAGCTTATTATTGCTTCCTTTTAAAAGAGCATTATTTGAGAACAAATTGTTTCGTGAGGGTATACCATCTCTGGGCAATCTATATGTAGTATATTTTTTTCTTGAACCAGAGCTTGTTCCAGTGTCCAAGCCAATAACTAAACTTAATTAAATGGAAATGGAAGACCGGCTTTAATTTTTGTTTTCTGAACAGCAACTCTACTTCTCATTGCCCTCTGCCCATTGATGCCCTGCACACATTTTATAAGAACAGTCTGCAGGCGAATGCAATGTAAAGTTATGCAGAAACAAAAGAAAACTTTCACTTGCAAGGACACATGCCATTGCCTGCATGCAATGGAGCCTAGGGAGTTGCCATGTGGGCTTACAAACATTCCTGTTCTGTAAGTACTTTTGCAGCTTTTCCTTTCAAAATCGAATCTGAGGTTCTTAAAAATGATCCATGCAGAGGATTGCAAGTGGTATAGCAGCCATTTTAGCTGGCTGATCGGCTCCTTTTTGCTCTTTCTCGTATTGAGGATTTTGCAACCGAAGAGTCCCTGCCTCTCATGCCAACACTTGACATGTTTCTCTTGTTAATTGTCTGTTCAAAAAGTGCAGAAAAGTTAACAACTGCTTCCTGCAGGTCTCTCTTACGTGGTTCCATTCATTCCAATAGAAAGCGCCCAAAGGAATAAATGCAGATCAGTTCCTTGTGTTAAAAATGAACAGATAAGGTCTTTGTATATGTGAAGTTTTCGTGTCGGCAACGGATTGTTTTATGAGGTTGTTACTCTGTGGTATCATATGATTAGAATTGGAATGTTCTAATTTGTATTACTTGTGCTGATACTTGTACATTTTCATTTGGATGCTAGGGAGCATTTGGAAGTTAAATTGCACTAATTTTCTATTGAGCAAACATCTATCCAGAAAGTCTGACATAAGAGAACCCTTGCAAAGGATCTGAGCCATTATCTAGTATAATCATAAAAATTTGAGGTGGATGTTTTTAAAGGAGAAAAAAAAAAAGACTGTTCTTCTCTTTTTATGAATGGCCCCTGGTAATTCTGTTCTGTTCTTCTTTTCCTCTCGGATTGCAGGTTCCTGAAGCGGGTATCTGAGAAAATGGGCGAGATGTTGAAGGAGGTTACATGCAGCTGCTTTTTGAGGGGAGGGTGTTAGGCCCAGCAAGATATGGGGGAAAAGTCAGTTGCATGAAAGCATGTAGGCATATGTTTCTCACTAACAACATTAGCATTTCTCTGTGTGTTCAAAATTGTGGTAAGCTAAAGCTCCATTCCAACAGAACCAAACCACCCCAGTTTGAAAAACGTACCTTTTCCATAGTTTGAAGTTCTGAAATGCTAGCTGTTTTACCACTTGCATTTTACATTGGCTGTTTCAGCTGCTTCCTTTTCCATATCCATTTTTAAGTCAGCATTCAGTCAAAAATCTTGTCATTGACAGTCTTCTGCCTGTGCCACTTCCATGCTCGCCCTAACCTTTTCCTGCATGTCTAGATACATGTCGGGCATGTTCGCCTAATGTTTTGTACTTCCATAGCTCTTCCTCGTCTCCTGCATTTGTAGCAACCTCCAGCACTAAATTTTTTTTATTTCCCTACCCGTTTATGTTGCTGTAATTTGGTTTTGTTTTTTTTTTTAATCTTCTTCATTGTGACCATTCCACTTCTTTGGCGTTACATCGGCTGTATAAGTAACATTCATTCTGCTTTGGGAATGGAATATAGATCTTAGCACTAGGCCATTCCAGCCTATCCTCAGCACCTCAATACTTTCTCATGAGCACTGAAAATCCTAGAATAAAAAGAGCACAGATTTGCCGCTGTAAGACAACCAACTCTTTTCAGAAACCAAGTGCTTGTCATTCAGATGCTGCCTTAAACTCTCCGAGTGCCTAAATCTGTTGATTGCCAACAATACCACTTCAGTATCCCGCCAAGGGCTATTGGGTCTCAGCTCTGTATGACCTCCTGAATCTTTCTACAGTTCTGCAGCTGTTGGTAGCCAGTGGTAGTTGTTTTCTCGATCTCTACCATTCCACAACCCAAGGTGCATTGTGAACGTGACACATTGAAAACAAAAGTACACGTATCGATTTTGTTTTACGTCCGATGAATGTTTTTAATAGGATTTTTATGGAGCCTTTTTTTAATTGCCTATTTTTTTGAGTTGGGGATGGGAGAAGACACCAGTTTTTAACGAACTGCAGTGCTCGTCTATTTCCAAGTATGCTTTATTGTAAGGACCAGTTAAAAATTGGAGTGATACTTTGTTAATTATCTATGTGCACTTTTATTTGTAAACATTGCGATTTGGACACATTTATACATGTAAATATAGTTGTCTGCAGCACCCCGTCATTGCTCATGTTATTTGTCTGCCATTTGTGAATTATGTTAATGAAAATGTCAAATCTAAGCAAAATAGGGTAATCTTAGTATATGGGAAGGGATGGGAGGGACAAAGAAAAAGTTAAATTAAGCTTCATAAACCAGCTTTCTGCTGTATTTAAAATCCTGCTTTTCTAAAGGTGGGAATCAAAGCAATATTTGGACACAGCAATGCTGGATTCCTTTAGAACTTTTTTTCAGTGTTACTAGCAGTTGTACTATCAGTAAAACTAAATCTATGTGACTCTTGTGTGGAAATTTCTTCCTTTTACTATTAAGTGTGCCACTATTACACATATGATTTAGTGTAATTTACATTGAGGGTGATAAAACACTAAAGGTTAGAGTTTTGGGATATTGTAAACAGGGTTATTTATAATAATGTGACCGTATGCCATTACTGACCAAACTACATTGAATAGTTGTTTAATGCTGGCTTTTTATTTTAAAGTTCCAAATAAAAGACAATGATTAGGTTCTCACTCTTTCAGCCAAGAACCCTATGGATTTTACTTAACAGCCAGTTTGAGCTGCTTTTAACACTTCTAGTAAAGGACTAATAGTTCTTTTGTGCTACTGTTTTTGTAGGGCCGGATTTGTTTCCTCAGGAGGATCTTTTTCTTCCTGTGGTATAAAGCAACCTTTATGAGGGTAGTTAAATGTAAGGGGAGGAAAAAATCTTTGTACTTGCACAGTTGGCTAAAATTATTTTGAAATGTTGAGAATTAATTGTCTGGAGTCATAACTTTTCAGTAATTTTTAATCTTTCGTGCACGTGTTGATTTTTTTTAAATGTTTAAATGCTTTGTTAAATAATAGTCGTTCTCTTCAAAATATTTTCGTGGAATTAAACAATCTTTTCATGGCCCGGATCATTTCTTTGTCTTCTGTTGCAGGCAAGTAATGGGCGGCTTTTGTTTGGTTTAATTTGTCATAAATATGCTTAAGTGGTTAAAGGGAAGCAGAAATTGCACCAGAAAGACAAATCTCCACGTTCTCCTCACTGTTAGTGCTCCAGTCCAGAATTATTCCTTGGGATAATTTAATTTCTTTACAACAGCGGTTCTCAACCTATGGGTCGCGACCCCATTTGGGGTCGATCGACCATTTCACGGGGGTCGCCAAGCAAGGCTGTCCGCCATTTTTTTCCCCTTTTCCAGCGGGTGCTTTACCTCCCTTGAGCTGGGCCAGCTGGTGGTCGGCCTGCTCCGTGTCTGCCGCTTGCCAGCTACGCCTCGGCCGGCGCAGGGGGCGGAACCACGCATGCGCGGTGCTCCCGGGCAGGGAAAGTCCTCGACTTACGACCGGTTGGGTAGTCCTCGACTTACAACCGGTTTAGTCCTCGACTTACGACCTGTTTAGTCCTCGACTTACGACCGGTTGGGGGTCGCGACATTAAAAAGGTTGAGAACCAGTGCGTTACAAGGTTTCTCAGATGACTTTCAGTTCACTTTTAGAAGCCACCTAATTTGCCAAAGACGCAGACAGATCCAAATTGGGATTACACTAAAGCTTACTAATTACACGAACATTTAGCAACAGCAGCACTTTTGGCAGGTTTAAACGACCATGCAACAAAGAATTGTATTTATATTTGGCCTCTGTAAACAAATAAGGAGTACAGAATTCCCTGCACAATCCAAATGCCTGCCAGAGAAAAGTTGGAGAAGAGGCTGAAACAAGACCCTTCAGTGCGGCTTCTGGTAGAACTGCACCCATGCAAAACAGAAGCTTTTGGGAGGATTCCAAAATTCCTAGAGAATATTTTTTTTTTTGTCCTGACCTACATAGTTGTAGCATGGTGGGTCTCCGATTTCAGGATGCGAAAAGGAAATGATTCTTCCCATTATTTTTTTTAGTCCTCCTTTTTCTCCTCTCCGTTTTCTCTTGCCCTTCCTAATCCCAGCTGGATCGTTCGTATTCAGCTCATAGTTTTAAATTTTCTCAAAAACAAATTGTCCTAAAATTTGTGTATTCATTTGAATTCTGAAACTGTAGATTAAGATGCTGCTTGTTTGATGGAAAGGTCTCTGTTTGGAACGGATGATGAAAGCATTCAGCCATAGATTCAAAAGCAGTCCTAAAAGGTCTGCTATCGGTCTGCTTTACTAGCTTATTAAAATAAAAGCTTCACATTTTCCAGTTGACTGATCAGGCCATGGTGGACTTAAATGCCTTTTATTAAGTTTGCTTGTTTCCTCTGCCTTGGGATTCATGTCATGCTCACCATGACTTCCAGAGAACAAAGAGGAAGATAGATGTCTTCTTTTTCCTTAAGTTGTCAAGTTGGATATTTGATTAGGAGAGAAAAAGAAGAGATGATGTATTCTTGTTCTCTCAGTGTACGACCTTAAACGGATTAGTCAGTAAATTGTGTTACTGGTTAAAAACAGCAAAGGTCTGTATAGTTAGAACAAAAATAAATCAAATTTTTAAATTTTATTTCCATCATGAAATGTAAATCCTAAAAAAAGCTAATTTAGCTCACAGTAGTGCAGAACTACCAAAATTTCACCTGGTGAAATTTATATAGGTATCATAGATACTTAATCCATTACTGCTTGTGAAAACTCCTAGCATTGAAACCGCTCTCTCTCTTCTTAATTTTTTCACTAAAGAATTATTTTTAAAAATCTGCAATAGTGGAAGACATGCACATATTTTAAAGCCTTTTGGGGTTTTTTTGTTTTGTTTTTTTAAAAAAATCCATATAAATTAGTATGGGTAGAATCAGTCACTGGAAAACAAAACCCACCATGCTGCTGGATGTGAAGATATTTGGATCTGAGACTATTAAACCAAAATACCTGATGACATTTAAAGTAACTTCATAGAAAATATGATTGATAAGAGATACGGATAAATGCCATCAAGAGGTTTCAATGTTATTAGGTCCAGAATGCTTAGTTTTGTTGAGGATGCTGGCAATAGTCGTGGACAATGGAAAAAGCATTGAAAAGGCTCAAATTTATAATGTGACTATAATAAGCGAATGAGTAGAACGTAAAGTGGACCGTGAATATTGGGCGCTCTGAAAACTATGTGCAACAAAGTTGTCTACGGAAGGTTCTGGCCTTCCTCTCATCAGCAAATATAGTCATCGCTGCCTACTATTTCACACAATCAGAAACACCCATCCATAGGAAAGCTTTCACTCTTGTCCGAGACTGTACCGTGCTCTCCCTTCAGTTTTGGATGGCGAATACAAAAAGTAGCATTGCTCTGCCCTTGTGATTTTGGAGACATGGATAACATGGAAGGATACTACTTTGCTGTTCCTTTTATAGAGACATTCAATTTTTCCTCCTGATCAGCCTGAATCTTGATTGCTCAGATTCAGCTTATGCTCAGATACTGCTTGCAGATGAACTGGCATGTATTACAATGCACATGACTAGGTTTTGCAGTTTGAAGAGTCATTGGACTTTTAATAGCTCACGTTCTTGTTTATATAGATAATTCTATGCAGTTTTAGATAAATTTTATATATATTTTTAGTTATCACATTTATAGATTGATACACACACACACACAAAACCATACATAGAGCGGCCTGGTGGTCTAGTGTTCGCCTCCCACTCGGAAGGTTGAGAGTTCAATCCTAGATAGTGACAGATGTTTCTGTCCTAGGGCATAGAGAAAAAAATATCTGCTGAGAACTCAGCATGGCATCAGAAAGGGCATCTGGCCAGTGAACACTCAGCTCCAATTGCCCCAACTCTGCCCCAAATTAAGGGGTTGCAGGGTCTTAAAAAGGGAGTTTTATATATCGATTTGCCACGCTTTTTAATCGGTTTTTATGATTCACAATTCTAGTGTTTAGTGCTATTGTTTTAATTGCAATTGTATTTATAATAGGCCACTCTAAGCCAGTGGTGGCGAACCTATGGCACAGGTGCCAGAGGCGGCACTCAAAGCCCTCTCTGTGGGCATGCACGCCGTCGCCCCAGTCCTAGGCCTTCAGCTGGGTTTTATAAAACCTTTTCGCTTCTCCACCGCCATGTGCAAAAAAAAAAAAAGGTTCAATCAGTCAATTTCAACTTCTCGCGGGGAAAAAAAAAGATCTTGCAAAGTTGGAATTGATTGATTGAACTTTTTAGTCCCACCCAGTCTGCCGTTACCACCACAGCCAGGCCCACCCAATGGGTTACGCCTACCCAATGGGCTACGCCCAACCAATGGGTCACGCCCAACCAACTGGCCACACCCAGCCAATGCGCCACACCCAGCCAGCACTCGACGATGCATAAGTGGGTTTGGGGTTGCAGTTTGGGCACTCAGTCTCTAAAGGTTCGTCATCACTGCTCTAAGCTATTATATATGGGAGTGGGCAACATATAAATGTTTGAGAGGAAGTATATTTTATCAATGATACTCCAAAGTAAGAAGCAATATTTGGCAGCAATAAAGAAAGGGCAGTACATAATCTTGCTACTACCTTAACCGTGTGAATGCGGACATTGATACAGTTAATGTGTTGAATCCCCAAACCAGTCATTTTGTGTTTCGCTGACATAATAAAATAAGGCATTAAAATATTTCAAGTGTTACTCTTTAATTCACAGCTATTATAAAATTTTCCACATCTATTTAAGGGATATCATACAACTGATATCTCCTAAAAGGACATCTCTTTAAGTTCTATTTATATTTACAAAACAGACTGTTAATAACATTATTGGATATAAGTCCTAAAATGATGATTTTTTTAATAGCGGATAGGAGGTGTCCATGAAAGGCAACAATCAGAACAAATAAATAATCCTTTATAAATCACAGGTCATTATTAGCAACTCATAAATAAATGTACATAAATACAGTTGACAAATTCTGCTTGATGTCAGAGGAACTTTACAAAAAAGTATAACCACCAGTCTTCCACACCCCATCTAGGGTTATAGCAGTTCATTTGGAATAAGAGTAATAATAATCCATGAAGTAGCGCCCTGATTTTCAATTGGCTATAGATGCTGTGTTTGCAATATGGTTTTTGATTGGCCTGAAACTTGCTTTTTTTTGGGGGGGGGGGAGTGGGGAAATACAGGGTTTTTTTAAAATCACACTAGCAGCATAAAAGGGAGTTGGCAGGCAGTAGATATTCCTAAGGAAGTATTTTTTTTTTGGAAGGGTTTTGTGGGGAGGGCAGTCTTTCCCCTAGGGGCAGGGGTAGGCAACATTGGCTCTTTTATGACTCGTGGACTTCAACTCCCAGAATTCCTGAGCCAGCCGGCTCAGGAATTCTGGGAGTTGGTCCACGAGTCATAAAAGAGCCACAGTTGCCTACCCCTGCCCTAGGGAAATGAGAAATAAGCAACATTTACTACAGCTTTCTTTTTAAAACAATGCTTTCTTGGCAATTCTGCCAATTTCTTTTTAGCTGAGAGTCCATCAGGCGTTTCTATTTTCCATCTGCTTGGTAAGAGGGGGTTCTAATTTTCGGGAGAGTGCAGTTAAAATTTGATTGAATTTTTCATATCTTTCATTTTGGTTGACCTGGGCTCCTTTGCTGCCCCAGAGCAATCTCATCTGAAATTCTGTTTTGAAGATTTCGTTCATTGCATCGTCTGGCTGAAAACCTGGTAAAGAAAAGAGAAATGTACAAACGTTACCATAAAACGTAGTCTTCGGCACCAAGTACTGCGTGTGTTTTAAGCCAAGCTGCATGTCACCTTTGACTGCAGCCAATGATTTCAGGTTGCTGTAGATTCTCCCTGGAGAAAAAAACATGGCAATATACTGGGCAAAGTACTTGATCTACTGTAAATCATCTCCCAGTTGCAAATATTTCTTTCTATGTTGAATGAATATGGCATTCGAAATACACATGCAGAGAGTATATACAACAAATAATGGCTATACAGCAGTATTTCTTAACTTCAGTAGCTCAGAGATCTGTGGACTTCAACTCCTAGAATTCCCCAGTCAACTTGGCTGGGAAATTCTGGGAGTGGACGTCCACACATCTTCGAGCCAACAAGTTTGAGAAACGCTATTATAGAATCTCAGTTAGATGCTGATTTTTCTACATGGTCACATCTCTGCCTCTGAGGACAAAATGAACAACTAAACTAAGCCCTGGCTTTACTCTTTTAAAAATAAACATTCCAACCCATTTTTACCATCTTGGAAACAGCCTTTCTCCAAAGGAAGCTAAGAATACGTTCTAAAGTTGCTAAATGTGTCACGACAAGTCCCTAGAAAGGCCACATACTTCCTTACAAGCAATATTGTAAAAGTCAGTCCAATCCCAGCTCTTCCTGTTTACAGTTCAGGGAATGAGGAGAGACACGGGTCAACTCGGGTAAAGCTGCTACTTTCTCTAAATTACCAGAAACATAATCATCCGTCAGGCACATAAATAAGGGTGGAAACAACCTTGTCGTATAAGGCTGCATTTACACAGCCCAGGGCTTGATTCTACCTGTGTCTCTTGTTTATGAGCTTAACTACTAAAAGCCTTACAGCCATCTCAAGAGGACTATTATCTTTTTTTCCCCCTACCTGTAAGGATCCTTTCTGCATTTGCGCTATACTGCTCTGCGTTTTGTGCTATCAGACGAGCCGTCGCCAAATGTTTCAGCATGATTTCACAGCTCTGGTCAGTGTTTTCCCACACATCCATTCCCTCAAAGACCACAGTTTGACGCTCCAGCAGGGTAACCAGAGGCACCAGCAATGGCACAGTGACGACGTTTTGCGACACACAAGTGATCTCTGAAAATGAAGAGATGAAAAGCACCTAAAGTGAGCATGAATATGACAAAACTGATCTACTAGATCCATGGCTGACTCAGGAAATCTGGGAGTTGAAGTCCACGAGTCATAAAAGAGCCAAGGTTGCCTACCCCTGTACTAGATTATGGCCTGCAACTTTCCATGCCAAGCAAAGATCCCCTTAGGTTTTTCAGGGCAATGCAGCATCAACACCCTCTGTGACTACAGGTAGGTCCCAATAACTGTTCATTTAATGATGGTTCAAAGTTATAATGGCCTTGGGGGAAAAATGACAACCCATCCTCAAAGTTAACAACCATTGCCCCACGCCTGTAGTCGTGTGATTGCAATTGGAGCACTTGGTAGCCGGTTTGTATTTACAATGGTTGCACGATTACAACTCGCAACCTTCCTGACCAGTTTCTACACAAGCAAAGCCAATTGGGAGAAGATGGATTCGCTTAAATGATCGTATAATTCACTTTAACGGCTGGAGTGATTCGCTTGACGACCGTGGTAAAAATGGCAGTAAAATTGAACCCAGTTACATGGGTGACTCACTTAATGACTGTATTTTCTAGTGACTAAAATTCCAGTTCCAATTGTGGTTGTAAGTCAAGGACTGTCTCTCTACAATGTTTGGCCCGGTAGGTCTATTTTGGGGCCTAGTTCTGGTCGGTTATAGCCGTAGTTGATTTAGTATCAAACATTCTCCATGTCTCTACCCGGCACTTTTAGTCATCAGAGAACTCGTTCTGAGTGCTCCTACCAAATTAAGTCAGTTGCTGGAAATAAGGAAGAGAATCTTCTCAGTTTCAGTGTCCACTTAAGGAATTGCCTATTGATATAAAAATGTTTTAAGTGCTTGCATTATATATTACATATACTTTATTATATTTATATGTGCCATGTCTTGTGAATGTACCTTGAAACACAACATTCATGCTTAAAAGTACTTTTATTGGTGTCCCCCCCCCCCCGATTTTAGCATTTTAAATACTTTTGCAGAAAACATCTGATGCTTTGGATTAAGAAATATACACAGATACATACAACATACATATCTAAATGCCCCATTCAGTGTGAATCGAGTGTAGAGACAGATCATTGTTCCCTTTTTAATTCAGCTTTCTTTTCATAAAAGCCCTTAACTTTGGCAAGAAAACTGATCATTGATCACTTTTCACTGAGCCCCCCAGGAAATTCATTATGTAACCAATTCTTATGACAAAACAGGAGGCCTAGGACAGTTATAGGTAGTCCTCAACTTACGACTTCAACTGAGCCCGAAATTTCTGTTGTTGAGGCATTTGAATGAATTTGCCCCATTTTACGACTTTCTTACCACAGTTGTTAAGTGAATCACTGCAGTTGTTAAATTAGTAATGCAGTCATTAAGTGGAATCTGGCTTCTCCCTTGACTTTGTCAGAAGGTTGCAAAAGGGGATCACATGACCCCAGGACCCTGTAACCGTCATAAATGTGAGTCAGTTGCCAAGCATCCCAATTTTTATCATAGGACCATGGAGGATGCCACAACAGTCTTAAGTGAAAAACGGTCATAAGTCACTTTTTTCAGTGCGTTGTAACTTCGAACAGCCACTAAATGAACTGTACTTTGGAGTAGTTAAAAAAAAATCTAGAGAAAGTCCATTGGCCTTTTTCTTTCGCGTGAGCAAATTGTACATATATTCTTTGGCTACAGGATCTCTATTCTTCCCCAGACGAAATAAATAACAAAAGTAAAGCATTGCTGTCCTTGATAGGACATGACTTTTTTTTTTAAAACACACTTTCCATTCAGGAAATAAAGGATGTGCCCTTAAGGCTTAACTGGAATCCCTCGGCAACAATGGAAACCGTTACATAACTAGATATCCACACGCTCACCTTTTCCTTCGTGTAAGAGTTTGCTGAAAGGTTTCAGCTGTTTCTCATACATAATGGCCGTTTGTGTGTGACAGTGCCTCAAGCTGGTCCACGTCTGCTCCAACCGGGCAATCTACAGAGGGCAAAAAAGGAGGGAAGCTCTGAAGTATGTTTTCCTGCTATAAGTTACAATATTGTGGAACATACCCCAATGGAAGATGGCTTCCATCAAAACCAAGGCATGGCACAACAAGCGGGGAGGGACTTGTGTGTGTGTTTTTTTACGACCCGCCCTCCTCCAACTAGGATGGCTAATGCACTTAAAAGAGTTTCAAAGAGAGCTTTTTGCCTATGATTTCAGGTGGATTTTTCCCAGGTAGTCATTCAACAAACACAGTACAGGAGTGTGAAAAATCTCCTGCTGATTCCTTTAAACCAGCAGTTCATTTCAATAAATATTCAGCTGCCAGCCGGGAGTGGAGAACAGGGAGATCCGCAGAGGCAGATCTAATGGACCTTGGCAACAGTGGATTTTGTTTGTATATTGTTGGCCTTTCGAGCAATATTCATTATCCTCAATATCCTCGTATTAAGATTTCCATTTTACCTGAGGCATTTCCAGAGCTTTCATTATAGCTGAGAAGGCATACAGATCCCCCATGGAGTCTTTTAGTTCGACTGCAACCTGGATAATCCTGTTTAATGTGGCAACACGCTCTTCTAAATTTCCCGTGCAGCCGAGAATATCCACCGCAATTCCTATTGCCATCGTAGAATGCCTGGAGAAAACAAATCAGGCGTAGTCAGGACAACCAAAAGATGCTATACTCCATGTGAATTCAAGCAAAAAAAAAAAGGGCGGAGGATTTGGGATCTTGGCATCATTATATTCCCATTATCACTTTGATAAGTAGAACCAAAAGAAACCGGTACAGAGAATTGCACGCCTGCCGATTATAGGATTCTTGAGTGTTAAAAAAGGGGAGTATTTTGAACTGATTGATTTCATATTGACCTTTTTTTTTAATTTATAGAGTTATGATAAACACTATTCTTCCTGTGCTTCAGGTATCGTAGCGCGCACACTCAAGGTATTGGTGCACTTTTGTAAATATATTAAAAATGGTGAACTTGATCTAAATTCTATTCTGTTTAAAGATTGGATCACTTTTGAATTGAGGTCAGATCCTTTGACTTCGTGATCATGTCCCTGTAGTCTTCTGGGCAACTGATTTACCACTCTCTTCTTCTGAGATGCTTTTTCAACTTCCTAGCTGGCACTCCTGGTCTTTCCTTCTAATCTCTCATCCGAGTATTAGCTTTTTGAGATCAGCTAACATTGGGTAAGCGCTGCCCCCTGGCTGGACACTTCACTCTATATAGACCCACAGAAATCAGTGGAATCCAAAATCTGAATTGCCTTAAATCCAATACATGCTCCATAGATTTATAGCCGCTATAAATAAGACTGGATCTAAGCTAATTCTTAACGTTTTCCTGAATATATTTTAATAAGATTTGAGTAAATGAATGCAACCAATTAAATTCTGCAATGAAACAACTGCACCTCAGAAATAGGAGAGGTTAGACCTCAAGGTGAAGATCAGCATCAGTTGAACCAGTGCAAAAGCATCCACATCCACAATACTGGTGCTTCCATACTGTGAGAGAGAATAAGGGGGAGAATTTGGTACATACTGTTTAGGAAAGAAGAAGCTTTAGATGCAAAGGATCTAAAGCCCTTTGGGCTTTCCATTATGCTTTAGGTAAATATGAGAACAGTTCTGAAACTGGACTTCAGTAGTTCTCACCCATTGTGTGCAAAGAGAGGATTTTTGTTTTCTTCATTTTTACTCTTGAAGTAAACGAGAGAGGCAACACCACCACCACCCGCCTTTACTTCCATTCTATTGCTTTCTGGCTGGCATATAGTGGGGTTTTTTAGAGTCCTTCAGAAAATAGCATTGGATTTTCACAATACATGATGATCATCATGATACACTCATATCAGCCTGGCGCTGTGCTCCACATTGTACAACTAGTGCCTTTCTGATGATCTGGGAAAGGTTGAGTGATGTTATCTTGGCATCTATGGAAGCCCTAACCCTGCCCCTAATGAGCAAAGACCCCTAATTATAATATGCCACTTTCTGTGTTTCCGGGATGAGAAACAACCTTGATGAACACAACCTTCATCTTAGGAAAGACCTTGTCCTTTAACCAATCTCTAGCGAAAGCATTCATGAGCTCCATTTGATAAGGGTTGCTACACTGCTGTGCTAAACATGAAGAGATAGTAATGCATCTGTCCAAATTTAAGAAATGAAGAAAAGACTCAGTTCACCTGGAAAAGTCGGGATGGGCAGGGGAAGAGGGAAATGTCTGTTGACAGAGAGATGAATGAAAGAGACTATTTGAAGATGTCTCAAGGTGAGTTCTCTTACGTCACAGCAAGAAAAACTATCTGCCGAAAAGGGTATTCATACAAGGGACGTTTCTCAAACTGGGAGCAGGAAACCTTAACAACTTGGCTAACATCTCCAAACTGCAGCATTTTACTTCTCCCCCCCCCCCAAAGGTTGGGTAAAGTTGGAATCCTTGGGCTTTTCTAAGCTAACAGTTTATTACTTGATCTGCAGGATCGTTTATGTAAGAGATCTGTGCAACACAAGCTGTTAGATCTCAGGTCTTGATATGCAAACTTTCTCGTTAAAACAAGTGTAATTTTTTTTAAATATTGCGCCTTCAGGTAACTGTTGACCCCTGGTGGCTGCCTGGCCTGGTCTCTGCAATTTTCTTGGCAAGATTGCAGAAGTGCCTTCTTCTTCCTAGGCTGAAAGAGAGTGACTGGTTCCACTTCACCTAGCTAGCTTTATCCCTAAGGTAGGACTAGAACTCACAGTCTCCCAGTTTCTAACTTGATGCCTTAACCCCTGCGCTAAACTGGCTCTCTTAGCAAGTGTATTTATAATTAAATACTTAAAGGGGAAGTGCAGCTCCTATTTTATCAGGACACCGATTAAAACACTTCCTTAAATATGGGCATCAGCAGGCCCTTCGTTCCCAAACTCCAAAGCCCCAATAGGATGCATAGGCAGTTTCTCTGCCCAGTCCTGCTTATTTGAGAATAAGACCGGGATTCTGGGCATAAGGAACCTAATCTGATTGTATTCAGAAACATGGGAAGAGTCTACCCACCTGGAAATTGCCCACTTTGCAGGTTTTGTGACTGTGGACCCCGAAGGAAGCCCAGAAAGCCTCTTCATAACAGCTCAACATTGCGGAGAGAAACACAACGGCAGACAGTGCTCACCTTTCAATTAGATCCAGGCGCAGTTGGTGTCCGTAGGGCAAGGTAATCAGCTCCAAGCCTGATTTCACTCCCATGATCCTCCGCGTCTCTTCGGAGACCTCAAGTATCCTAGCAACCTGACGGAGGCAAATGTGCAAACAAAAGAAAGCCGAATGGAATCAAGGCGGCCCAGACATTAACCTGCATTGAGGGGAAGGGATCTTGGGTGCTCTCCTGGCTTGAGACGCCCAGGAAAGCCTTTTCTGGGGGGGGGACCTCCCCACTGCTGATGGAAAACCTCCGAGGTCCTTTCCAAAAGGAGTCACTATAGTTGCATCTCTCAAGCTGCAGTTTTATCCCCTCCTCCGTTGGAATTGCTTTCTAGCCATTTGAAAGGCTCCCTCTGCTGCTTTCTGTACAATGTAGAATTTGAAAGAGGGATGTGGCCTGGCCCAAACCCGCTTTTATCCTAGTCAATCTTTGCTTCTTGGCTCCTGCTTCCCACCCACTCCCCCCAGGCCCACCACTCATTGGTATTATTAGTATTCCAGGGGTTACAAACGAAACCGTGAAACTTTTAGGAAAGCCGCACGAACACTCTGAACGGAAGAGAAGATAAGCGGAGACAACGGGTGTATTTCAAGCTGCATTTTCTTCACAGGCAGAAAGAACGTAATTATCAATCGGTCTGAGTTGGTTTCTGTGAGCCAGGGAGGTTTGCGGTGCGCGTGCACGTGAAAAAGTGAAAGCCCCCCTCCTTTTAATTTGTGCCAACATGATGCGCACATAAAGATGGACCAGACTATTCCCATTGTGAATAGGGGGGAGGCTTGTCAGAGATGTTCTCTCAGATTAGTTTCTTGGCCCAGGCTTAAGCACTGCTTGTCTGACCCATTGCCTTGGTAATACTTCTTCCTACTGTCTTCCCCTCTGCCCTCCACGCACACATACAAAGGGGCAGAGCTTTGATCACACATCTCGACACTTCCTGCAGATGCCTCTAATGTGAGAGATGGGATTTGTCAAACCTGCACCAGCAGGCATAAATGCATCTTTAATCTTCTTGCTTGCTCCTGCAAGCAAGAGGTCCATGGTCCAGCTCCCCTGCCCATCATCTTTTCTACCCAATGACCTACTGAACTCGACAGCTGTGTCCTTCCCCCCCACATACACACACACCCCCCTTTGAGCTAATGCTTAAGGAAACAGCATTGCCTTCCATCACTTAGAGGTGAACTTCCTCCCTTTCCCGCCCTCCAAATAATCACTAGAATACTTAACTGGGTTAATGCTACAGGAAGGGAAAAGAATATTTGTTGTAGAAATCCCCAAACCAGTGTTAAATAACCTAATGAATTAATTCCCGGGGGATGGTGGTTAAATATGACTCCAAACTGACAAAGTCATGCACAATTTAAATTAATTCCAGGCAATCTCAGTTATGACCTGGAAACATCTACACCCAATCAATTAATCTATTTCCCTTAGCCCACAGTCTTCCAAGAAAAAGTGTTGGAGAGAAAGAGTACCAGATTACAATCAGCCTCCCCATTGCAAAACTCACTGCCAAGACCTGGGATTACGGAATATATACCCAAATATTGACGAGTTATTGAGGGATTGATTCTTGCTCTTCTGGCTCACTAATGTTTTAGCCTGAGTGTGCTTCTGCTCCCAAGCAGCTCTTCTGAGAAAAGGAGTGAATGACAGGAGGAAATGGGTATAAAGATAGCAAGATGAACTTGATGGTAATGTGCCAAGGCAACAACGGCTAAAGCATTTTAAATCCAGAACATTCACATAGAACATTTGGAAAGAGCTCACATAGAAACTTTCCTAATTCACTGACCTATAAGGAAGAGGTGGGGGGGGGGAGAGGAGAAGAGGAAAAGGTGCTATAGCATCGTCAGGCCTGTAAAATTCTGTTTTTATGGCCAATCTCAATAAAAGTAGCACGGACATTCTGTGCAGTTGTTTCCCTGGTCTGGTCTACCTAGTGCAGCTGACAAAATGCTGCCTTTGGGAGATGAGAAAATTACAACAACTTAAAACACTCTGGACAGTTGCACGCCATCTATTTCCTAGTCCAAAGGCACTCTCTGCCAATCATTACAAAATGCTAAATTTAGAGCATGGGATGGAGGGAAGGATACCTTCTTGGAATGCATGCTTTTAAAACTTTAATGGTTTTGAGCATCAACTGCCTGGAAATTGGGGGAAAAAGAGGGTGGAAAAAGAGATATTATGTGATAAAAAAAGTCATCCAGAGTTCAGTAAAATTCAGTTAATGAGGCACAGTAATTCTAGACTAAAAGTCTCATGTTTGCCTCAAGAGTAGCTTGTCTGCAAGTTCCAGACCTGTGATTATCTCTTGGGCCAACAACTCTTCCAGTCTTGCGGGCTTCAATTAATCTTCCCCAATCAGTTTTTGGCTTCTTGATTTGTAATCTTCATTATCTGCATCAATAATGTCATTGTTTTACCGCTTCATTTGGATATGTACAATTATGCAATATTTGAGTAAAAATGTTAACTTTTCATCACTTTTCCTTTTTCTTCTTCTCTTTCCTCAATATTCTGATGTTTTCCTCTGGAACTTCAACCGTTTCTTTCCCAAATTTATAATTTTCTGATTGTCCTCAGGTAGTCTCTTGACTGCTCTTCAACCCCTTCATCTGAATTATACATAATCCAATAATGCGATACACTATCCCAGGGGTAGGCAACCTTGGCTCTTTTATGACTCGTGGACTTCAACTCCTAGAATTCCTGGCTCAGGAATTCTGGGAGTTGAAGTCCACGAGTCATAAAAGAGCCAAGGTTGCCTACCCCTGCACTATCCCGTTCAAAAACATCGCTCTCCATTAACAAGTATTTTCTAGGCCTGAATGGGATGTTTATGCTAAGATATAGGTTAAATGCATGTCTAAAGCAGGGCGCCAACTTGAAGATTCAAGTTTAAAACCCTTGAACTGATCTTGTTGCAGAGGTGTATGTGTCTCACTGCTGTCCAAACAACCTAGGAAACAGTCTCAGGTCATAGATAAAACAAGCCCTCTTCTCCTTAGCTTTGCTGGCTGGGGATAATAGCAATTGCAATTCAAGGCTTATGGAGGACAGTTTGAGAAAGCTGTCCTCAAGGTACCTGTTGCAGGAGTTTTCCAAAATGAAGCCAATCTGGATGGCATCAGTGCTTAGATGGGGTACTATTGGGATGCTCTATTTATACTGACAGTTGGCATCATGGAAGGAGGGATACAAGTAGAACAGCTAACCAATTGGATGGTTACACAAATTAATTCCATGATGGAGGAAAAGCAGGGGTCAGACAAAGCCTATAAAGATCAAATGGAAAGGTTAATTATTCAAGAGAAGAGTTATCAACTTTTGTCAGAATTCACTTAACAGAAATCACATTTATTGCATTGCTAAATGCAAGGAGAAAGCAGGGAGTAAGCATCAATAGACGTGCTTAAAGTAGTTTATTAAGGCACAGTGAATCAGATAACTCCTGCTTGGGGCCAAGCACACTCATTTCTCCCTGACAAAATAAAATACCGGTTTTAATACTGACAAAGAATTGAAGCGCATCATAACACATTGGATCCTTGAGAATCCGGTGGGTTTTTTTTAGATTAGCTTTCTGGATTTCATTAGTCTGCTGTCATCCGGACTTTTACATCTTGCCACATGTTTCTACCCCAACTACAATAAAGGTGGTTGTGTTTAGACTGCATCTCTGGATTGGTTTCCAATTTCCCTTCTGCAAACTTAAAGGCTCTTTAAATTCCCAAAAGAAAGGAATTGTGCTTTTTTTTTTTTTTAGAAGACAGTGATTTTCCCTGATTATTCTTTGCTTTATAGATTTAGCCTGTCTATGGGCTGTTCTTGAGAATCTTCCAGTATGGTGAACACGATGCTGTTTTCTTTCTGCTCAGAAAAGTAGGAGGCTGACACAATCTAACTCAACAACATTGTGGATCCAAGCCAAAATAACATGCAAATCAGATTCAGTTTGAACAGGGAAGATGGCAGATAAATTGTATCACTGATCTCTCACCCATTGTACTAATCTCCCCTTACTTTACTTTGGTCCTTACTTTAATGGTGTCTAGGATGTTTCAGGTTGTTTACTAGTGATATTTTACTACTTATATTGGGGCTTTATATTGTATTTTTGGTTTTGATCTTTTTTTATGTCTATCTAAATTTGTGAAGGCTACAAATACTGCCAAATCAAATTAAATAATTCAAGCAGCGTGGCGTTCATTACAAAATTTTAGTTTTCCGTAAGGCTTTCCCCCCCAAACAGCGGGAGAAGATTAGGGGGCATGTTAATACAGATTGATCTGGCATCAATCCATGTTAACATGCCATCTAATATTCATTGTTTTTAATGTTTTAACTGGTTGTGTTTTATAGTTTTAAAATGATTTTTGATGCCTCTTAATCTTGGACCGGAGCCTCCCAGAGTTGGCTGAAAGATGGGTGGCTATATAAACGTTTTAAATAAACAAATAAGACTGAAGTGGTTGAAAAACAACTGTGTGTGTGCTTTTCTTTGTAAGGCCCATGTTGCTCTAAAATTTATATATAAGGATTAGAAGCCACCAGTGTATATTGGGAGATCCTGTGCGTGATTGCCACCGGGAGATTCACTCCCAATAAATGCCTCTGAAGAAAAGAAAGGCATTTAGACATTCCACCCACAATCCTAATGACAGTCATATATTGCAGCATTAGCCTAATAGGCAGCATCAACCTCATTAGGGACCCAGCCCTCCCTTGGCTGCAGGTGGGTTGCAGTAAATGTCATTAGTGATATTATTCCCGCCTTCCTTAATAATGGATCCAGTGGGCTATTGTGTTTAACTGATCTCATCGAGAGACCCCTCCTGGGACCATGACAAACACGATGTCAGGAAACAGACAATTCCTCTCTCTACTCAGTTTAAGTGCCCCGTGTACATATAGATTGAAGTCTCCAAATGGGAGTGCTCTAAGTGATGAGGGGGGAGATCTCAAGAAGGTCTTTTCAAGCTTGAGTGCACAGGATCACAGCTGAGGCCAACATGATTTAGACAATCCAGACAGACGGCTGCTTTTAATAAGTCTCTAATACTTTTAGGGAAAAGAGGTCAAAAGGGCGCTACTAAGGCAATGACATCGAGAAGCGTGATCTTTTCAGGAAACTGGGCAAAAGTCATGCCGGTTGACATTTAAGAGATTATCCGATAGAGATTCAAAGGAAGAAGTAATTTTCACAGAAAGGTAGCGTGGAGGACACATCCCTGCAACAAAGACTATATTTAATTCCCTGCTTCCTTGACTCAATTATTCTAGATACTTTAGGTCAGGGGTAGGCAACCTTGGCTCTTTTATGACTCGTGGACTTCAACTCCCAGAATTCCTGAGCCAGCTGGCTGGCTCAGGAATTCTGGGAGTTGAAGTCCACGAGTCATAAAAGAGCCAAGGTTGCCTACCCCTGCTTTAGGGTAACCTTTCTTAGGTTGAGTTGGATTATAGCTTCCAAAATGGCCAGCCAGCATACGCAATTTCCATTGGCTGCAGGGAATTCTGGGAGTTGTAGTTGAACATGTTTGGAGGGCACTCAGGTTAGGGAAGGCTGCTCTTAGCATGTTTCCAAGCAAATTTCCAAGGCGGATTTCCCCATTATTTGGGGAAATCAGTCTGGTTCTCTGGATAGGCACTATGTTGCCACAGTATTATGAAAACTGAACTCTAGTATATTTGAAGAGCATCAGAGTGGGAAAAACTAGAATCAGCATAGCTACGAGGCTTGGTCTGTCAGCTTCACAAACGCTTCCAAATCTGATCCTGGAAATACCTATACCAGCAATTATTCCCACATTATGTCCTAGGGAAATATCAAGAAGAGATAGCAATTTAGGCACAAATCTGATAAGATCTTTAGTTTCTCGCCAAGGATAAAAAATTGCTCTTTGTTTGTTGACATTCCTGTAACTTTCCTATTAATATCTAACACGAAGAACCAAAATTCCCACAACAATACGGAGGGTAAGAAACAGAGTGATTGGGCTCTATGAGATATTCCAAACTTGAAGGCAAGAAAAGCAGGTTTTTTTTCATTCCACCAAAGTCCTTCAAAGGAAACCAGCTTCCATATACTTCAAAAGCAGGTCCGCTAGAGGGCGCACTTAGCATTCCAGTGGACACTCTGGAGTTCTTACTTGGCTTTGAATTAAAGGCATTCTGGACAAGTTATGTCAAGAAACCCTGGTCAATTAGGCATTATCAAATTAAAGAAAGCTAAGAATTCAGACAAGAATTCTGTCCCTTCTTTCAAAGAGTTCTCCCTCTTATCCTTATGTTCTCTCCTTTTGACAGAATGCCCGTTTGGCTGATTTGCGAGAGTTTCTTTATAATATATAGCATTTTTTATTTTTTTTTTAAATTAGTTTGAAGAGTATCAAATCCAGGTCCCTGTTCTGAGGTAGGAAGTTATGGTCCGGTTCACCCATCATGCTAAATCTGTTTATTGAATAGATAAAAGTTGTTTGGGTTGAGCTACAGTACTGTGAACCATGAAAAATAGTTTGCAAGCCACCATAGGTAGATTCAGTCAACATCACAAAACCAAAGATAATGGCTTGCTGAGGTATGGGGAAGTATGTTTCATTAGCCTTCTGGGATAATGTCCAGAATTACTCGCATCCCATTTGTGAAAGAAGAAGGTCATTTCTCAAATAACTATCAATATATTTTGGGGCAAATAATATACCAGACTTACTATTCTTCATCCAATTGTGTCTTTGGGCCTAGCCACAGTTTAAACAAGCTGCAACAGAACTAATTCTCTGCTCAAAGCCTTAAGAGATACGTCCACCTTCAGCAGACTAGCTGCCCTCTGATGATCACCCAGAATCACCCTTCAGTTTGTAATCTGACTACAACATGCAGCTTCTTCATAGAGACTTGATCCTTCATTCAGCATGCAAAAGCAGATACTGGTCGGTATACCACATTCTCAGAATATCCATCCCTAGAGGGCTTTTCCTGAGGCTCCCCTTTCCATCACTTTTTCCACACATAATAAAAACTATTCACCTGGCTTTTTCTTGATTTTTTTTTGGGGGGGGTGGTTGGATCTATTGTTAGTTCTATTTGTGTATGTTTGGCATTTTATTTTATGTGACCGAGGAGTGAATCATACGTGGTGTTAAAGTTATTAATACATAAGTAAATGTATATTTAGAGCATGTGATATTCTAAAGCCAGAATATGTTTGCTTCTAGCTGTGGATGAAACAGAACACCAAATTAGCTCTTGGTCTGATTCAATAGGGCTGTTGAAACCACCACCCACCCTGTTTCAATTAAAAATAGAGATTTTTTTTTACCTTGCAGTCCATCTTCAGTATATGCTGGGCAATGACTTTTGCGTCATTATTCACAAAGAGCTCTTTCACTCTCTTTAACATTGCGGTCTCCAAGGGCTTGTTTTCTAGGGGAAGAAGTTTTGACTCAAAATGGTTTGGCCTGAAACCAGAGACCTTCTCAATGACAGGTGTGACAAAGATGGGACACTCTTTGCTTCTCTCCAACTGAGCTGTCTGTGGATCCACAGAACTCGGCAAGGAGTCATTGTCCTCCAGGATCAAGGCTGAATGGGTCCCATTGTCCTTCGTTGTCAGATGCTCTACAAAGCTGTTCTTCTGACATAAAGGTTGCTTTGTTGGCCTGCCCTCTGTGGGAAGAGCTGCGTGCAATTCACAATAGAGGACATCCAAGCCTTGCAGTGGCCTCAGAAATGGCAGTTTACTGGGCTTTGGTGGGGGTCTCAAATGAAGTTGGCTGTCAGACCCCCTGAGCGCATCACTAATTTGCAACTCTGAAGCAAATCTCCGGAAGAACAGGGGGCTCAGATTAGGTTCACTGCCAGTTCTAAAAGCCGGAGGCTTCGTACAAGGACTGTTTTCAGTTTCTGTTCCTTGGGAAGGATGTCTTGAACCTGGAAAGTAAAGGGAGAAAAGAAGTGTGACGTTGCTACTTTGAGGGATCAAATTGAAGGTGACCAAAGCTTGATCAGAAAGTCAAAGAAGAGGGAGGATTCCTAAAGTCCCTTGCCAGAATGCCCGTAGCCACATTGTAATTTGTCCAGAAGTGGACCAGACCTATTCCCATGTCTACTATTCTGCCTGACTTCAGGATATGGCAGTGAGGGCAAACCTTTTAGAGACCGAGTGCCCAAACTGCAACCCCAAACCCACTTATGTATCATCGGGTGCTGGGTGGGCGTGGCCCATTGGGTGGGTGTGGCCCATTGGGTGGGCGTGGCTGCGGTGGTAATGGCAGACTGGGTGGGACTAAAAAGTTCAATCAATCAATTCCAACTTTGTGAGATCTTGTTTTTTCCTGAGAGAAGTTGAAAATGATTGATTGATTGAACCTTTTTTTTTTGGGACACGGCGGCAGAGGCCTAAAGCGAAAAGGTTTTATAAAACCCAGCTGAAGGCCTAGGACTGGGGCGATGGCGCGCGTTCCCACAGAGAGGGCTCTGCGTGCCACCTGTGGCACATGTGCCATAGGTTCGCCACCACAGGGATATGGTATTAACTAGGTAATTTCATTGAAGTGAACAGATTGCACATCACAACTGAAGGTTGTGATATCAGTAGACTGCACTTTGCAGAGGTACAAAACAAAACAAAAGGAGGGCTAAAAGCAACTTAGGGAGAGGAATCCAAATACAGATAGTCCCCAACTTACAACAGTTCATTTAGTGACAGTTCAAAGCTACAACGGCACTGAAAAAGTGACTTATGACCGTTTTTCATACTTACGACCGTTGCAGCATCCCCATGGTCACCTGATCAAAATTCAGATGCTTAGCAACTGGTTCATATTTACGACGGTTGCATTCTCCTGGGGTCACGTGATCAGTTTTTACGACCTTCCTGACAAGCAAAATCAACGGGGAAGCCAGATTCACTTAACAACTGTGTTACTAACTTAACAAACCGCAGTGAGTAACAACTGTGGTCAGAAAGGTCATAAAACGGGACAAACCTCACTTAAACGACTGCCTCACTTAGCAACAGAAAGTTTGGGTTCCATTGTGGTCGTAAGTTGAGAATTACCTGCATAAAGATACGGCAAGTGTAATGAAAGGGGGGAAGGATATGAAAATCCTACCATTTACTTATAATGTGGATTTTGAATAACACATTGGAGAAAAGGTGTGGATTCACCCTTTGAGCTTGGCATGGGCTAATTATTGGGAGGAGAGGGGAAGAGGAGAAGAAATGGGATTCTCTTTAAGCTTTGGGATATGAGCTATGTACCTTCTTGCATGGAAGTGCCGCATCCATAATATGTTCTCCTACAGATCTTTTCATATGGGAACCTAGTGGGCATGTCGGCCTCGTGAGCTTTCTATTTCCCCGCAGTCCGGGCCTGTCACTATTTCCTAGAGGAAAATGTTTCAGGACCCTTGTATTTGAATGCCACATACGTGAGATGCATAGCTGAGGGACACTTGAGTGACAAATTCCACCCATCTACCATACTCTCCCTGCAGTCATCCCAGATATACAAAGCAGCTGCAGCGGGAAATCGCTCTGTGGTGAATGGGGTATTACCGGCTGTACAGTCAGCAGTGGAAAATCTCCAGGCCTTAGAATAGGAGCCGATCTATAATTGACTCTGATGGGCCAAAGCAGAAATAAGGACTTTGTGACTCACTAAGATGAAAAGAACATTTTCTAGAAAAGGGAAGCTGAGCATACAAGGATTTATGAATGGAATGAACTCTAGAGACTGGCCCCTGTGTTACCCAGAAAGCCAATGGCCTCTAGAATATAGGTTAACACTTACAAGAAGCAAAGGATGGAAACTAATCAAGGAGAGAAGCAACTTAGGAGAAACTTCCTGACAGTTAGAACAATTAACCAGTGGAACAACCTGCCTCTAGAAGCGGTGAATGCTCCAACACTAGAAGTTTTTAAGAAGAGACTGGACAGCCATTTGTCTGAAATGGTATAGGGTTTCCTGCCTGAGCAGGGGATTGGACTAGATGACCTCCAGATCCCTTCCAACTTTATTATTATTATTATTATTATTATTATTATTATTATTATTATTATTATTATTATTGTTGTTGTTGTTGTTGTTGTTGTTGTTGTCGTTGAGTAATTAGAGCTCAGGATTTGCCAACTCATTCACAAGCAAAGGTTCTCCTGACATAAAAGAGACTTGGCTGAACTGCAATGTCACCATGCAAAGAGGGAGAGATTGACAAAGCTTCTCATCCTCTTAAAGCAGGGGTGTCAAACTTGCCACGTCATGTGACATGTGAAGTATTGAGACTTTTTCCCCATTGCCGGAGTTGGGATGGGCCCGTTTTCGGCATGACACATCCGGTAGCTTGACACCCCTGTCTTAAAGTAATATGAGGCAAATCCAGCCACTTCTCCAGTTCTCCTCTATTCCTCAAAACTGGGAGAATGAATAAGGAAATAGGGGGACATTCAAACAAGGGAAGAGATACCCCCCCAGATATACCTCAAACACTACCTGTACTATTAATAATGTTCAGGGGGAATATACCTTATTTTAACACGATTGATTTATACTTAGATGGCAACAATTTTGTACTATGCTAAAATTATACTTCGCAAATTAAGAAAAGATCGGTCTGATTACTCTCACTTTGAATAATTTGTTCTATAATTAGTTTTGTTTTGCATCACTTATTTTGCTTTTGGAAGCTTGGAAATTATCAATAGGCAGTTTAGAGAATACTTCAATCCCTCAGCTACCTCAGAGACTGGAAGAGGAATTGCTCAAAAACCATTTTGAAGTGCAAAACGCTTTCTTGAGAAAAAAGAAGCCAGAAAATAAAGAGGAAAATGGGAATTGGGAATGAAGTTATTGCTTAATTTAAGCACAGAGGTCCACAATTCTTCTTGCTTTGTCAATGTATCATATTTTGGCCCTAAGGGTACTCCTCATGGTGATTCTCTGGACATGTTGGGATACATCTGCGAGACAGATGTTTTCTGCTATAACAAGCTAACGTAATTATCATTCTCGGAGAAAGAGGAGAAGATTGAGTGAAAGACTCGGTTGCCATAGATTTTGTTATTTCATCTTTATGTTGTTTCCTTTTTTTAAAGAAATCAAAACTATAGTCTCTCTCTCTCTCTCTCTCTCTCTCTCTCTCTCTCTCTCTCTCTCTCTCTCTCTCTCTCTGTGTGTGTGTGTGTGTGTGTGTGTGTGTGTGTGTCTTATAGTTCTATATAGTTGGAGGCCACAATAAAGAGACAGTCCTTAGAATTCTTGTCATTTTTTTTGTTGAATTTTTAGAACCCTGGCATGTTAAT